TAGATTTTGACAAATCGAGTCGTTTGAAATTATTTCATGGTTAGTCTGGCATTTAGGAGAGGCCGCCATGTAGGTAACATGGTGGCTGGTGTTGTTATTTTGTTGGACTTTGCATTCGGGGTGGGCTGTGAACTGTTCAGAAGAGTTTGAATTTCTGCAGTTTCTTTAATGTAATATGTGATTTCTAATGCTGAGCTTTGGGAGAGAACTAAACAAGTTCCAGTTAACCAAGAGGTGAAGAAAAGATGCTAGGGTTGGATAGTACACACGTTGAGAAAATATGAATACAATATAACTAGAATGTCTTTGTACTGGAACCCACTAGAGCATAGAAATAAAGGCAGTTCCCCCTCCCCCCTTGCAAACAAAAATACACGGAGAAGGGAACTAGAGAATGAAGTCAAAAAATGGGAAATACTTGGGGGAGATCTGCATGCAATAGCAAAGGATAGAACGAGTTGGTGTGAGTTGGCTGAGGGCCTATGCTGAGGGATAGAAAGCAAAAGAAGAAAGAAGAATGTGTGATTTACTCATTTGGGTAGTTTGTCTGTCCTCTTTTTTTCTAACCCCTACCTCTTGCCCTCCCCCATAACTATTTTTCAAAGAAGAAGCTTCTTATTCTACTGCCTTTCTAACCCCACTTGAGCATAGGCTCTCAACCTAAGTTGTTCTATCCTTGGCTATCGCATGCAGTTCTCATGTCTTCCCCTGCTTTTTAACTTCACTCTCTAGCTTCCTTCTCCCTGTTTTTTTTTTTTCTTTATTTCTATGCCGCCGTGGGTTCCAGTGCAAATACATTCTAGTTAAATTGTTGTCATGTTTTCACACCATGTGTCTTATCCAATGCCAGCGTATTTTCTTCACCTCTTGGTCCACTGGAACTTGTTTAGTTATTTCCCAAAGCTCTACATTAGTGATTCTATCAGTCCCTCTTAAATGTGTTAGAGGCTGGAGTTATCTTTTCAGTCCCTCTTAAATGTGTTAGAGGCTGGAGGTATCTTTCCTCCTCACTAAACCCTATATTAAAGCTCCCCCCCCCCCACCCTTTAACTCTCGCGTTCACAGGCTGTAAAACCCGGCGGTAAGTTCTGGTTGTTCGTCCACTTCTGGACCTTAGTCTTGCTCCAGTACATGAGTGTTGCGTGCACAACCGTTTTCCAGACCTGATTTATTTGTATGCATTGAGTCTGTTCTTGTTCTTGAGTCTTGGGGGTCCAGAAACTCGTGCGGGGAGCTCCTGTTTATTTATACGTATACAATTATTGCAATGATATTATTATATTGTTTTGTCATTCAGCACTTTGATGTTCATTTTATTATTTGTCGTTTGCTTAAACAACGCTTTCCTTTGCTGCCCCCACCCCACCCCTCCAATGATGTTCTTTGTTTCGGCGCCAGCATACCACACACTCACTCACGCGCACACACCGAAAACAACAAAACCAGAAAACGTATCAAAAGGCAAAAACATGCAAACAGAGACATACCTGCCGCTAACATAGGAGCTGCAAATTCTCTGTGTGTTTTATGTACAACCAGCGGTAAGACAAAGAGCTACAAACCGTGGGTAATAAACATAACACCAGAGATTCATGATCGCTTCAGGTTCGACATCAAAAGCTTGTCTTTTTCATAGCAACCATTCCGGCAAGGAGTTTCCATTCCAGCAACAGGGTGGATTTGATTGTGAAATAATAGCGGGGATTTAGTTCGTCATTAAAAAGGTCTTCAGTCTTACTAACTGTCAAAGAAGTATGGCTACACGTGTGTGAACTATGGCGCTAGAATGCGACTGCACTAAGGTTCTTCTTGCAAGTGAGTGGCAACAGCACGTGGGAAATGTAGGAGCGTTGTGGCGCGGTTCCACTGGTGGATTTCTGGGGGATTTCAGGCCGCTGGTGCATCTGCGGCACATTATGTGTTTCAGTGTCTTCGGCGATTTATGTTTTGTGCTTAGTTTGGGTGTATGTGTGTTAAACTATGTGTGTGTTGCGAATGTGTGTGTTTTGGTGCGGTGGGTGGGGGGGGGGCGGCTGGGTGGGGTGGGTCTGGACGAGAGATTTTGTTTGTATTCGATTGACACATATATGGTTGAAATCGCAATAGTTTTATTTTCTCCTCGTCTTTTACCTTCTTCATATTCCCCCTTCCCATTATCCAGTTGCTCCTCCTCCTCCTTTATCTTCTTTCTGCTGCTGCGAGTGCTTCTAACCCTGTTCTCAGCTTTAAATTTGTATTTCCCATCAGATTTAATGTTGAAATATTTATTGCACAACTAACCCAAATCTCAAGCCACTTAGTGCCCAAGCCGGTCAATAGTAAATTATGGGGAGGAAAGCCTGAAGGGGCTACAGCCATGTTTAATTGCAAATTCATCATCATCATTATCTGCTTAATGGCGAACAAAGAAATAATATGTTTATAAAAAAGTTAGCTGCTTGTCCGTTACAGGACATAGCAGAACAAACCCTAGCCGTTTTTTTTTTTTTGGTTGCTATGGATTTTCTAGTTAAATTTACGTCTAGTAGTTTGCCATTGCTTTGCAGTCGGCTTCTCGATACCACTGTCTAAATCAGCGCAAGGCCTGCAGCTGGGATTGAACCCGGCACCCCGGCATTACGAAGCGCGTTCGCAACGTCTAAGCCACAGATACCTAATGTATCTATAAATATAAATGTTTAAAAAAAAAAAAGAGAACGTCCGGGTGGTAAGGGGTGGTAAGGGGGTGTGGTAGCCTCACTACAACATTTAGGGTTGCGAATATGGGGGCCTGATGTGCCCTAGCCTATTCTGTCTCGAGACATTAGGATCACAATTCATAAAACACACGATGAGACCAATCGTCTCCGATGGCTACGAAACATGTAGTATTACAACCAAACCGTTCCGAACAACTTGACCAAGCAGCTGGTCCAAGGCGCTGTCTAAATGAAGGATCCACCGTTTAAGGTCCGGCAACGGGCGAGCTCTCAAATGCCTTGTAAATATGTGGAACGGGGGGCGAAATTAATGAAGGCTAGCAGAGGGGCAGGAATTCTCTTTGGTCCAGGGGTGGAAGGAATTCGGGCAGACTTCTCACTCTCGTGACAGCTGTCGGGTCTGATAACAGCTGCAACAGCTGACGAAGGAGGAAGGGCATCGTTACATTAGCAACAATCAGTCTGACAGAGCTGAAACAACACGAGAAAAGGGAAAGAACGACAGCATAAAGAAACAAGAACATATCAACAAACAACAACAAACAACACACACACACACACAGAGAGAGAGAGAGAGAGAGAGAGAGAGAGAGAGAGAATACGCACACAGGAGAGAACGAATAGAAGAAGGAAAGAGCCAAAGAAGAAAGAAAGAAAAAGAGCAGAATGAAACAGAAAAAATTAAGCAAAGAAAGAAATAAAGAAAAAAAAAACTGAAAAGAATAATAAAAGAACACGAGAAAGCGCAATCAAGAAAAAGAAAGAAAATACTAAAGAAAGGAAAAAAAAAACGAAAAAAATATATATAAGAAAGAAAAAATAACAGTGCAAAAGATCTAAAGAAAGAACGAAAAGATATTAAGAAAGACGACAGACAGGACTCTTGGTAGAAACATAAAATAGACAAAACTAGCCACTCATGTAGCTATACAGTTAACAACAGACTACAGACAATAAAGAAAGAAAGAAACTTACGCTTCTTTTCCACCATATTTGAGAATGCCGTAGAAATAGGTCTTCTGGCGCCCAGACCCTTATAAACGGGAATTGCTCTCGAGTGCTTTGTTTGTTAAAACTTACGTCCTTTTCAGGACGTAATTTTTTCTTATTTGAAGCCCCACTCTGGCTTTTGCCAGGGGCCGCAATATAGGCAGGCCATTAATATGGCCAATTGTCTGAACGCGGTTTCTGGGACCTCTCCACGGTGATCCTCATCCGCATGGTGGCACTTTGTGTCATCGGGTGTTTATCGCTTGTGTGATGTCCTAGTGGGGTAGAAAGTCAGTCAGTCAGTCGAGTGCTTTGTTGGCTTGTCTGAAATTTGCAAGGAAATTTTACTGTAGTTGCGAAGTATCACTTTTGTTCCTCGGTTTATTGTGTTTTTTTTTTCCAGTCCAATCTTCAGAGAATAAGAATAGATGTTTTCTTTGCTTTGAAGTTGTCTTTTACGCACCATGAACTTAAATACTTTGCGAGTTTCGGGAAATTACTGTGCAAGAATATGTTCATTAACAGGTAACATAATATGGTCGTGATTCTAATTAATGTTGGCGGGTTTTGGCTGTAACATATTTACAGGTGACTGCAAATCTTCTTCTTCTTCTTTTTCTTTCTTCTTTTTCTTCTTCTTCTTCTTCTTCTTCTTCTTCTTCTTCTTCTTCTTCTTCTTATTCTCTTGGAAATTCTTCTGGCTGTGACTTCTTTCGTTCTTCTTCTTCTACAATTTGAGCTTCTTCTTCTTCTTCTTCTTCTTCTTCTTCTTCTTCTTCTTCTTGTTTGCGTTCAGCAGCTGTAAACCTCGGCGGAAAAAAGTTATTGCTGTTCGTCCACTTCTGGACTTTGGTCTTATTTCAGAACTTGAGTTTTGCGTGCACATCCCTTTGACCGATCTGATTTATTTGAATGTTGACCGTTTATTCCTCGCCTCTCATGATCTGTAGTATTGTTCGGCATTATTGTTCTCACTAGTCGACATTATTATACACACTTTTCGACAGTACTGCACACGTTATTCGCTATTAGTGTGTTGGCACCTTTCCGTGGTTCCAGACGATGGTGTAATATCGTGCTATCGGGAAGTATGGAAATTCACAGCCCATGGCGATGGCGAGTGTGACTAGCAAGACCTGCTCGTTCTAGTCGTGTTAAGAAAATTGTACAATTTGAGCTGCGGTTTCTAACCTTTTCCCAACTTTTTTATTTCTCTCTATTCGATATTATTGTATTTATTGTTACAATTGTTTGTGAGTGTGCTTGTTGAAAATAACATTATTTGACCATATTCTTTTGGCTCTATTTCAGGTCTCGGTCCAGACGGCCAATTCCTTCCCGGTGATCTGATGCCTTCATCGTCCACACCCGAACCTCTACCTCTGGGTCAGCATGAGGCTTTCGGCATTCCCCGAGGCATGGGCCACCACTTCAACCCATCACTATCACCCTCGCTAGCTCACCACCATCCTCACCAGCATCATCACCATCAACAGCTGGGGGAAATGACGTCCGAGGTCTGGTGACAATTACAGAGAAGCTATCTACCCGTAACTCACGATAGCATGGCATTGTAATTTTCGGAATCAGTCTCTCGCAGCAAGACATAAGTGTTGGCCTTCAGTGACTACCAACGACGGTGTTGTTCTGCTAGTATTGACGCTAAAGAAGGCTGATTTGTAATGGCTGTATGTTTGAACTGTCGGTGTAATGTCTTGGTATTAAATTAATCTCACATACGGAACTTGAGTGGCAAATGTGAGCAAAATAAACTGACTTCATGATAGGGACAATAAGAACTCCAGTAAGATAATCATCACTTTTTGGTTCCATGTGGCGCTAACCTCAAAAAGAGATAATCTACATTCTGGAGTAAATCATGAGGTCGGAAATTTAGAGGGGAGGAAAAGTAAAGGGAGACTATGAGCGAAGATGGTGGACAGTTTGACATTATAGCATGATAAATCAGCTGTGTCTAAATGGATCGAAAGTAACCTAGACAGAAAGTTATGGATAGACATGACTACCAATGCTACACGGCATAGACCAGGTGAAGAAAAAGTTGCATATCCTTTACAGAAGGTTGCAGCCAACCCACATCATCTGTCAGATGTTTGTGGTTCCTAATGGTCTGGGCATAGGCGATTCAGGCTTAACGCTTGATGTAATATTGAATGAGCTCTCTTAAGTACCTGAAGGTTGAGAAGCCAATATCCGCTGTTGGCAAAAATAACTAATATGGGAAAACCCGAAACATCAGAAATGGCCGCTGTGAAAGTTAGTTTTCTGGCAAGTGTGTCTGTCTATAGTTAGCCATTAACTTATTCCAACTATCAGAAGGAAACATTGATCTTGTTATGAGAAGAAGGAAACTACAACATGCCGTGACTACTGGAAAGATCTGTGGTAAGAGAGACAGAAAAAGACACCGCATGAAGGTACTTGACAGCCTTCTGTCATGGCATGGAGTAATGTCAGCGCTAGAACTGATACGTGCATCAGGAGATTGTAGGTTGTGGAGAATTATGGCTGCCCACGTCAGTCAGCAAGGCACTCGATAATGATGAGCTTGTCATTGCTTTCGGAGCGGTTCGACGCTCATACCATGGTGGAGATAAACGTAAGGTTCCTCAGCCGAGTTACGTGATTACTAATAAACAGTTACTTGTTAATGAAAGAACAATCACATCAGTTCCACAAAGCCACTAAATGATGGATGTTCAGATGTAATGCCGTGATGTATGAACGCGGTACAAGCAGGCAACTGACTTCATCTGTTTAAGAGGTTTTAATTTAAGTTTATTTTGTTCGGAAGCAAAACATTTTTTTTAGTCCTCCTCTTGTCTGATTTGGCACAGAAATCGCTAGGAGATATCTTTCGAGTTTCTGTTTGTGTGGATTTCTCATAGACCCTAACCCGATAATTTGGGTTGTCTCTCTTTCGAGTTGTATACATGGTGTGTATACGAGTAACTTCATTGTCTTTGAACAATAGCTGAAGGTAACTGGTTGATGCTGTTGTCATTTCTGATGACCGAAGCTAATGGACTTCTTCAGAAGATAGTCTTCATGCTCGGAATTGACACTTAGCCAAGTCATTAGCCAGTATGTTGGATTGCCTACGAACTAAATACACGAAAATACTTCAATCTTTCAGAACCAGTATAGAATGCGAAGTTTAAAGTGGCAGTCCTAATGCCTTCGCGGTGGCAGAATGTTCAGCTTCAAGAGGCTCTTGGAAAATACACTTCTGGAAGTTCTACTGCCGCTGCTACGCTCATCGGCTGTGAACACCGTTGGAATGTCCTGGTCGATCGTCCGTGCCTGGACTTTGATCACTCTTCAGGATCTGAGTGTTGCATGCACATCCGTTTTCTTGATCTGGCTTATTGTGAGCTGATTTGTGGTTCCTGGTGTCTCAGGCAGATGCGCTCTGACTTCGAAGGGAATTCTGGAACCACAACTGGATAACTATGTATTCTTGTTGATATTTATTTTCTAAATGGTTTGGGTGTACGAGATTAGAGTGAACTGCGGTTATTGTACTACTGGGTGAACTCTTTAAATACCAGAAGGTTTTAGTAGTGTATCCCACTGTGGTTGAGAATAACCACTATGAAAAGGTCTTCAGCAAGCTAAAGCCAAATGTAAAAGGTGAGAACATATAATTTGATGCTTGGAATTCAGAAGTTAGACACAGACACTCTCTGCGTTGAATTTGAATGAACGAGGTATTATAATGGTACACACAAAACTAGTTTGAATGACCTAAACTGAAACCATCGCTTTTGTACAACAAACTATTGTTTTCAAATGTATGTAAATGCACTGGATCTTTCAGTCTGGAACAAAAATCGAACCACTAGTTCGTTATTTTCTGAGGTTGGTCGGAGCAGATACTGAAACTGAAGACCAGTTTGCGTGTTGATATAATTATTATTTGTAAAATTGTATATGTAATGAAAAACTATTATGTGTATTTCAGTGAAATAAATAGGTTCATGTTTTGTGAAATTTACCATTGTGTGTTGTTTGCTGAACGTTGATTTGACTGGATGCTTGCAGTGAGTTGTTATTTCTATCTATCTATCTATCTATCTTTCTATCTATCTATCTATCTATCTATCTATCTATCTATCTATCTATCTATATATCTATCTATCTATCTATCTATCTATCTATCTATCTATCTATCTATCTATCTATCTATCTATCTATCTATCTATCTATCTATCTATCTATCTATCTATCTATCTATCTATCTATCTATCTATCTATCTATCTATCTATCTATCTATCTATCTATCTATCTATCTATCTATCTATCTATCTATCTATCTATCTATCTATCTATCTATCTATCTATCTATCTATCTATCTATCTATCTATCTATCTATCTATCTATCTATCTATCTATCTATCTATCTATCTATCTATCTATCTATCTATCTATCTATCTATCTATCTATCTATCTATCTATCTATCTATCTATCTATCTATCTATCTATCTATCTATCTATCTATCTATCTCTATCTATCTATCTATCTATCTATCTATCTATCTATCTATCTATCTCTCTATCTATCTCTATCTATCTATCTATCTATCTATCTATCTATCTATCTATCTATCTATCTATCTATCTATCTATCTATCTATCTATCTATCTATCCATCCATGCATGCCATGCCATCCTGCCATCCCTCCATCCATCCATCCATCCATCCATCCATCCATCCCTGCCTGCCTCCATCCATGCCTGCCTCCATCCATCCATCCATCCATCCATCCATCCATCCATCCTGCCATCCCTCCATCCATCCATCCATCCACCTGTCACCCACCCACCCATCCACCCATCCACTGTCCACCCATCCACCCATCCGTCTATCCGTCTATCCGTCTATCCGTCTGTCTGTCTGTCTGTCTGTCTGTCTGTCTGTCTGTCTGTGTTATCTATATTATCTCTGTATGCCTGAGTCTCTCTCTCTCTCTCTCTCTCTCTCTCTCTCTCTCTCTCTCTCTCGTTTACCTATTAATATTTATGTGCTTATGAGTCTGTCATTTTCTCTCCATATGTAGGTCTGGATCGGACTTCGTATGTTCTTGTCCCTCTAGCTTTATCTGTCTCCCTCAGCCCGTTTTTCCCCACCTCTCTTTCACATACACGCATATCATTTCTCCACATCTGTTTGGCCCAGCAATGAACTCACAGAGCTGCATAATTCCACATAAAACAACCAACGAAATCCAAATGCTCCCAAATTCTTCCTTATCGCCTTAAGACCAAATCCCCAGGATAAGAATTTGCTGTTACATTTCACGGGTCATTTTTAAGTCGGCTTCATCATCAAAGCCTTGGATATACGTTCAAAGTTATCTCATGTCGGCTTCTTTTTTTTGGTTACATCAATCAAAACTATCAGCCATCCCACCTCATCCCATCGCATAATTTCCATATTTATAAAGCCTGCCACAGGGAAGATAATAAGAGTATGGGTAAGCAGTGTTGAATATTTTGTAGAATGCTTTCACTGGCCATCACCAGCCTTCCCATATAGGTCCCTCCCTACATAGGTCCTTCCCTGCATAGTTTCCTCCCTACATAGGTTCCTCCCTACATAGGTTCCTCCTTACATAGGTTCCTCAATACAAAGGTCCCTCCATACATAGGTTCCACCTTACATGGGTGCCTCCCTACATGGGCTCCTCCCTACAAAGGTTCCTCCTTACATAGGTCCCTCTATAGATAGGGCCCTCCATACATAGGTTCCTCCCTACACAGGTCCCTCCCTACATAGGTTCTTCCCTACATAGGTTCCTCCTTATATAGGTCCCTCCCTACATATCTCTCTCTCTCTCTCTTCATAGGGCCCTCCATACATAGGTTCCTCAATACATAGGTCACTCCCTACATACCTCCCAACAGAGGACTGCAAGTAATACATGGCTTGTCACATGGCTTGTCACATGACTTGTGTCGTCGTTTCGGGCGCCCTACTTATAACTTCTGTAGGGGTTGAATGAGATATCTGACATCTACTTTGACAGCTAGTGGCTTTGGCGTCTTGCACCTGACATTTTACCTAGAAAATGTTTCAAGCGGGTGGGGGGGGGGGGGGGGGAATGTGGTTGAGCACTCCCGCCCCAACCTCCAATGTTTACTTCTTGGCGAAGCTGCCCTGATATCGACCTACTTGTGAAATTGTTGCAGCCCAAGGATACGAACCACATCTGTCTAGAGTACCAGGACTCGACCACATACTGGTCTAAGCCGGTTGCCACCCGGGGAAGTGGAAAGGGGGGGGGGGGGGGGGGCGCTGACCAACGGTAGATAGGGTCGACAACTCCTTCCAAGTTCATCTGCTTTAAAAGCAAGTAACCAACAGCCTCGATACAAATAAGCCGGATATGTAAAACGGATGTGCACGTACATCTTAAGTTCTAGAACAAGACCAGAATCTGACGAGCAACTGATGCTTTCTACCGGATTTTACAGTCACTAAAGGCAAAGAAGAAGAAG